GACCAGGGAGGATGGTTCAACTACTCAACCACTGAAAACAACAAATCCTACACACTGTGCCTTTAATTGTAAAGCAGCCATTTTCTTAAAAGAATGAATTTTCTCTTGAATCAAGAGGGTCTTTTCATAACATGAAGGATTTGTTTTTTAATTTCCTGAATTAAAAAACAGAAGCACATCATAAATATTTTAACAATTTATTTTGTCAGCTGTATTAAATACTGACTGAAGAAATGTGTACTTCTCATACATGATGCAGAGGTGCCAACCTAGAGCCATCCCAAATCATGATTGTCTCAAGAGTATTTGCGTTGCGGGGCTTGTGTTTGTTATTGGCAGTTTGTGCGCATAGTAAAAAATATATGGAATTTATATCTTTAAACTTCAAAGTATTCATTCAAACCTACTTATTTCTAGATGGAGAGATTATAAGTAACAAGTGATAAAACAGAGTTTATAAAATGGGTGCTTTATGAACATAACTTTGCTAAACAGTACATACATCTATCCTATTATTGGGCCTCCTTTATTCATTCACACTTCTATAATCAGACTCAACAGCTGAAGATGAATTTGTAGTCACAGGGAATTYTTGTCACAATATTTAAACTGAATATGGAGGAAACTATATTTGTCTTTTAAAATTAATAACAGATAAAGTAAAATAGTCTTTTCTACTACTAAGTCCGACTCCTCTCAGCTCAGTTCGGAGCGGTAACGTCTTTTAAAAGTAGCTGCTGTTTATCGTTGCTCATTCTGTGCTAAAGCTAACTGCTGACATAAAAAGTCTGACATTGTGTCTATAAATAATACTCATACCCTGCTACAGCAAACCGTTGCTATAAATGCAATAAAACAAAACCAAAATGATTTTCTAATAAATGAACTTACAGTTAACTGCACACTTTATGCCTTAGAAGTGTGAGTAAATATGCTAATATTTTCCTTATGGATTTAACTCAATGAAAAACAAACAGCAATGCTGATAGTGTCTTTATTTCAAAAAATAAAAGTCAGACAATACTGTATATAACTACATTTTTAAAAAACCACAAAACCACCTAAAAAAGTACTTTAAAGTCCGAACATAACAGGAGCAGCTCTCCTGTAGCTGCCCAGCCCCTGGATGCCTCGACATGGATAGCAAGGCAGCTGGTACAGATAGGTGTAGGAGAGAGTGGAGGAACGGTCCGGGAGCTCAGCTGGTCATTTGGCGAAGGTGACTCTGAACAAAAAAACAAAGATTACCCTCGAATATGGTTAAAATTAATTACTAATTACAATAAACGTATAGCTGGGGTGTTGTTTTTAGCCTAGATTGCTAACTAGTGTTAGCCGCTAGCTGCTAACTAGTTATTATTGGAAACGAACATGCACAAAGGACACATCGGAACAAACTTTATAAATAAAAGGTACAGTTTCACAAGCGAGACATGTGTCCCAAAAATTATGTTCAATATCTCACAAAATGCACGAAGCACTCACCATCTGCAGATGAAGTTTGTGAAGAGTCCAGTCTACAGTTAGCAGCAGCCAGATTGGTGGCTGTAGAGAGAGATCCCCTCCATTTAACTAAAGCAGTTCTAGTCCCCCTGCTTTGAGCCACTCCGGCTGTTGTTGTGGTTCTTCACTGCTCTGAAAACTGGCTCTATATATTTTTAGCTTTTCCCAGCGCACTGCCATCATTTGGAAAAATTCATCTTGCTCTTTGTCATCCGTGACTGCTACACGCCTCGGCACCTCCACGCCCCAAACGGTGCCGGGCGGCCTCAGTACTACCTCGAGAGGAGTAGGGCTGGGTAGAAAAATCGATTTAATCGATCTTGAATTGATTTCCCAAAATTCTTGCAATATCGATTCATAAGATCGATTTTTCAGTAGCCTCGTGGCGAAGCACAGAAACGTTCCTTTGTCTCCCTCCTGGCTTGCTTTATGCTCGGGTTGGCGTTCATCCAAGTGCTGCACATGCACATAGACAGAAAATGGCCAATGCAAGTAAAAGTCCACTCAGCAAGCCATCTCAACTTAAGTCTGATGTCTGGAATCATTTCCGATTCAAAACAGTAAAGAACAACGAGTTGGATAAAACCAAAGTGGTTTGCAAGATTTGCCAAGCGGAGGTCAGTTTTTGTAGAAATAATACGAACCTCAGAAGCCACTTGACAAGATATCATGCTATGCTAACATTAGCTTCTGACGAGAAGTAATCTGGGCCAAAACAAAAAAAACTATCATTAACATTACCAGCCGATTCTCCGCGGGCCATTAA